TACTACTACCTACTACTACCTACTACTACCTACTACTACCTACTACTACCTGCTACTACCTGCTACTACCTGCTACTACCTGCTACTACCTGCTACTACCTGCTACTACCTGCTACTACCTGCTACTACCTGCTACTACCTGCTACTACCTGCTACTACCTGCTACTACCTGCTACTACCTGCTACTACCTACTACTACCTACTACTACCTACTACTACCTACTACTACCTACTACTACCTACTACTACCTACTACTACCTACTACTACCTACTACTACCTACTACTACCTACTACTACCTACTACTACCTACTACTACCTACTACTACCTACCACTACCTACTACTACCTACTACTACCTACTACTACCTACTACTACCTACTACTACCTACTACTACCTACTAGCTGCTACTAGCTGCTACTAGCTGCTACTAGCTGCTACTAGCTGCTACTAGCTGCTACTAGCTGCTACTAGCTGCTACTAGCTGCTACTAGCTGCTACTAGCTGCTACTAGCTACTACTAGCTACTACTAGCTACTACTAGCTACTACTAGCTACTACTAGCTACTACTAGCTACTACTAGCTACTACTAGCTACTACTAGCTACTACTAGCTCCTACTAGCTACTACTAGCTACTACTAGCTACTACTAGCTACTACTAGCTACTACTAGCTACTACTAGCTACTACTACTACTACTACTACTAGTAGTACTAATACTAGTACTAGTACTACTAGCACTACCACCACTACTTCTACTACTACTACTCCTACTGCTACTGCTACTGCTACTACTACTACTACTACCACCTACTAACTACTACTACTACTACTTCTTCTTCTACTACTACTACTTCTACTTGTAGGCTGCGCAAGACCACCTCATCCGGCTCCGCGACCACTGCTCCGCGACCACATTAACATGGAACGACCTGCGGGGGGAGGCTCTGCGCCCTCCCCCTGGACCCCCTCCCGCTTGTTTATAGGCACCGCCACGCGCAGCTGCGCAACACCACCTCTTCCACAACATCGCACAAGGAGGCAGCAAAAAGCACCATCAAAGCACACAAGCGCAGCTCGGCGGCGTCGTCCCTCCCCCTATTTTGTCTGCCACCCAATATCTACTCATATCTACTCTTACCCGGCTACTACCGATCATGTTGCACATTTGCGACCACTACCACTACGCACCTTTGCTACCGTTACCACTACACTCACTACGGCCACTGTCTATACCACAGCCACTACCGACTATGTTGCACCATTGCTACCACTACCACTACGGTGCACACTACCACCTACGCCTCTTCGTCACCCTCCTGAACTGTCGCGGCTAGATTCTACAACACTCTATATATACATCAAACGCCGTCAACCGACATCAACATTCGCCGTGGAAGGAACGCCCTGCGGGGGGAGGCGCTATGCCCTCCCCCCTGCACCCCCGTCCCGCTTGTTTATAGGCACCGCCACGCGCAGCTGCGCAACACCACCTCTTCCACAACATCACACAAGGAGGCAACAAAAGCACCATCAAAGCACACAAGCGCAGCTCGTCGGCGTCGGAGTCGTCGTCGTCGGTGTCGTCGTCGGCGTCGCCGGCGTCGTCGTCGGAGTCGTCGTCGTCGGAGTCGTCGTCATCGTCGTCGTCGTCGTCGAGGCGGTTGGCGCGGGCACGAGGAACGAGTGAGAGCGACGAGTGGTAGTGGTCGCACGGGTGCAACATGATCGGTAGTAGCCGGGTAAGGGTGGATAGTGGGTGGCAGACAGTGAGAAGCATCAGTGGCGCAGAGTCGGGGGAGGAGGAGGAGGCGAAGGCGGAGGAGGAGGAGGTGGAGGAGGAGGAGGAGGAGTCGTCGTTGTCGTCATCGTCGGCCCTGGTCGCTCTCACTCGTTCCTCGTGCTCGCGCCAACCGCCTCGATGACTCCTGCTCCTCCTCCACCTCCTCCACCTCCCCTTACTCTGCGCCACTGATGCTAC